TGTTAAATCATGACCATAATTAATTTTAAATTCTTTATTTGTATTTGAAAAACTTAAAATATTGTTTTTAAAAATAATTTAAAATTTAACTTAATTTTTTGTAAAATTATTTAAAAAATAATAATTTGAAAAAAATATAGTTTTCTAATATTATTATACAAATAAATAAATTATATTAAATTAGTTTTGAAACTTTATATATTTTAAATGCAATTATTTTATAAAGTGCTTCTTAAAAAAACATTAGGAAATTTGTTAATATCCTACCAATCAAGCTCAATGACACTCTGTTTATTTTCCATCACTCGAGCACTAAAAAGTGAAACGATATATGAAATCCCCTATATATTATTTGAGAATCATTTAAAAAGTTGTAACCTTAAGTTTGTAAGAATTAAAATAACCCCAATCCTATGTGGCATAGCTTTTTGGCTTCTATTTCAAATCCCAAGGATTCTAGAACATGTGATATAATGTATAGTCTAAAATTTATATTCTCTAGCAATATAATATTTCGTAGACTATAGTTGGTCGCATATATCAAATATTTATTGTTTCGCATGCTTTCCTTAAATAAAACCTACGGATTTACCTAATGTGATTAAAATGTATATAAAATTAATGATTTTAAATAATAAAGATTTGATAACGATCTGTATACTTTTTCTTATTTTGTTTATTTATTTATTATTAAAATAAATTACACGATTACATTAATCATATAATAAAAATCTAGATTTTTTTGTGTATGTTGTATTTCGAATTTTTGAAAATGAGTATAAATTACTAAAACTGTTAAAAGTCTCACATAAACTTTTAGGATCAAGGTTTTAATTTTTTTCTATATTAAAATATAATGATTACAAGATCATATGAAGAAATGATTTTAGTTTATATATATTTCATATCGTTTTAATTAAACTATGAATCGTATGAAAATACATACTTATATTTTGATATTTGTCTTCAACATATATTGAAAAGTTAATATTTTAATTTTGAAATATGTCATTGTTTTTTTTTAAATGATTATAAATTATTGAAACTACTAAACATCTCACATTAAAAAAAAAATCGTTGGTGTAAAGCTCTGTTACACAAATATGCAAATAATCATAAAATCATATGAGTAGAAACCTCATTTAATAAATATCAATATTAAAAGTGTGCCATATTACTATGTTTATATCATTTAAATTTAATTATATATCATATACAATATATAATATTGATTATTTTGATTTATTTACGCTAATTGCGAATAAACAAGAGTGATAGTTAAATTTATATGCATACGTCAATTTATTACATAATAGTGACTGATTCTTAGTTATGTAATATATATATATATATATATATATATATTTATTATTTTATTATTTTATGATATGCAGAATAGTATAAAATAAATTATAAATATAAAATACTTATTGTGCATAAAGTGCAGTTCTTAATCTAAGTATGTATCTTTTTAATTATTTTAAATCTTAAGTATTTTCTAAATCCCAGGTCAAAACAAATAAACTAAATGAGAATAAACTTCAAAATCAATATTTATATCGAGTAATAACCAAAATATAAAAAAACACAACAAGAGAAAAAAATTGAAGATAAATAGGATTAACACGTGAACGTAAACTTCTCATAACCATAATTAATTTTTAAATCATGATATAAAACTGAGTTAATTTTTAATTTGTTAATTCTTTTAATTTTTTAAATCATTATGGTTATGTTAAATCATGACCATAATTAATTTTAAATTCTTTATTTGTATTTGAAAAACTTAAAATATTGTTTTTAAAAATAATTTAAAATTTCACTTAATTTTTTATAAAATTATTTAAAAAATAATAATTTGTAAAAAAATATAGTTTTCTAATATTATTATACAAATAAATAAATTATATTAAATTAGTTTTGAAACTTTATATATTTTAAATGCAATTATTTTATAAACTGCTTCTTAAAAAAACATTAGGAAATTTGCTAATACTCTACCAATCAAGTCCAATGACACTTTGTTTATTTTCCATCACTCGAACACTAAAAAGTGAAAAGATATATGAAATCGGGTCCATTAAATTCTAAGATTTGATCTACAGTTCTAATTACAATTGTTTATGATCCTACGTATAGATAATTATTTAAAAATTCCAAAATTCTAAAATTTCAAATACATATAAAAACAATTATATGTAAATTTTAAATTTATCAATACTAAAATTTTATATTTTAATTACGTATATTCACCCTGCGCAAGGCGCAGGTCTTATCCTAGTGGTATAATGTTTGTGACCTTATACACTATAGCTTCATGACTTTTTTGATTTCTGTTCTTGTCATGTTTAAGGTATCATAATAATTCTGTTATAAATATAACTATTATTTCCTTGACTGAGTATAAAATAATCTATGTCTGTGTGTCCTTCCACTAAGTTAGATTGAATTATCGTTTGTTTAGGATTCGATATTCTAATACTCCTACCAAAATGAATCTGATACGAACCCAAAATATCTTTAGAATATTCAATGAAGGGTGTGAGGTGAGGTTTACATATTTACCTGCACTTTCAAAGGGTTCGTCGGAGGAGGGCGTAACCAGTATGTTTAAGCCGTCACGGTTTTTGGAGAACAGGCCTGTGATGGTGGTACATAATGTTTTTTCCGGCTATGCGAGAGAAAGGGTATAGTAAAAAAAGCTGAGTGCTGTGACAATGAAATATTCTTATTTCCTTTTAAGATGAATAATTGTCGTAATTAGTAGAATTATAATGATTTTGTATGAAATTAAAAATCATGTCTCATGCTAAGATTGGGTAGGGTTCTGTTTTTTTTTTAAAAAGAACTTTTGTATATGGGCGTTTCACGATTTGTTTATTCCTACATAATTTGTTAGATTTTCATAATTATTACAATAGTTTCCATAATAGCTTCTATACAAATATGCTGCATATTACCACATATAAATACGCTGAACAGTAAACAGTTTACCCCTCTAATCAAAATGTCGGAATTCTAACCAAATGTATACCATTTCCATGCAGATTAAGTTATAACACTCACCATTTTAGGTAGTTTTGGAAGAAATAAATGATTCAGGAAATCCAAGTCATGAAGACTAACTTAAAAGATTTGTTTTTTTTTTTTAAATACATCAGATTTATCAACTCTGAAATGAGCAAACATCAAAACATAAAAATGAGAAAAAATTACATCTAAAGACACATTTTCACTTTACATTTACATCTGGAGACACATATTGCTTTTGACATACTTTTTTCATATGATTTGTCTTTTCTACCCTTTTCTTAACCAAACAATAGGTTTCACTTTTGTTCTAACGAAATAAAAAAGAAATCAACTTTGGAATCTCACATCAACGCTGTCGTTCACCATAGCCAACCCTTCTTCTCCTCCTCCTCCTCCTCCTCCTCCATGTCTCCGACGTATTCTCATCATCGGAGCCGAACTACTTCAACTCCCTACTCCCATCCGACGCAGTCGCTCTACTCTCCTTCAAATCCACCGCCAATCTCGACAACAAACTCCTCTACTCCCTCACAGAGCGTTACGACTACTGCCAATGGCGCGGTGTCAAATGCGCACAAGGCCACGTCGTCCGCCTTGTTCTCGCTCTCTCCAGCGTTGGCCTCCGCGCGACTTCTTCTCCGCCACTCTCAGCCGTCTCGACCAGCTCCGAGTTCTGAGTCTCGAGAATAACTCTCTCTTTGGACAGATCCCTGGTCTCTGCTCTCTCGTTAACCTTAAATCTCTCTTCCTTAGCCGGAACGAGTTCACCGGAGCTTTCCCTCCTTAGATCCTCTCTCTCCACCGGTTAATGATTCTCTCTCTCTCTTATAACAACTTCACCGGTCAGATTCCGTTAGAGATAACCGCTCTTGACCGGTTAACTTCATTGTGGATGAGAGCTTTTGGATAGGTGCATTGTGGATGAGAGCTTGTGGACAGGTGCGTTATGGATGGGTTGATGTATCGTTTACGATTGTATCATGGACGAGTTCTTTCTCAGAAATCTGCAAAAAAAAAAAATCTCATTTTTCATGGATTAAAATTGAAACTAATAAATGAGAACACTAAATCCTAAAGATTCCACATATGAGATTTATAAATTTTGTCGGAGTCAAAGTGATAATTGTAGAGTGTGGACATGCAATACATAGACATGCGAGTTGTGGACATGATACGAACCGTGGACGGGATGTGTGAATCAGATAAAAAAAATATTGCTTTAACCAGATGGCTAGAATAGAGGAGATGGTTGGGAGGTTTAAGAAGAGTTAGAGATGGCTAGAATAGAGGAGGATATCCAATTGGTTTCAGGCGTTGATTCTGGGAGGTGACTCGGTGACTCAGGAAGATGAGTTGGTAAAACAAATCAGTGAGTCATAATGCGTAAAGGAAGTGAAGAAATGATGTAGATTCTCACATCAAGCATCTTTTGAATCTTTTTTTTCCTGGGAAATTGGACTGAACAAACCCTTTGTAGTTCCATTGGAGGAAGAGGGAAGGAGAACCAGATGAGTTGCAAACCGGTTTCACAAACCAAAGACATATCAGCTCTCATCTCATTAAGGGCAAAAACGTGAAACACCACCACTAGATCCAAAATAAAGTGCCTCACATGCACAATGTGTTCCCCCTTGTAAAAAAAACTCAAAATGTGTCTTTTACGGAAATCAACTTTAAAAAAGAAAGCAGTCAACATACGTGTAACCAAAAAGGAATTTTAAGCAAGAAGTAAATGAATCAGAAAAGCAAAGTCCTCAAGACTATTTTTTATTTTTATTTTTTAAAAACACATCAGAATTGTCAACACTAAAATGAGCAAAACATCAAAAAATAAAGAAAGAAATCTCTCAACATAAGTGTAACCAACAGAGTTTTTAAGCAAGATAGTTCAAATGATGCAAAAGTTTCGGAAAATTAAAGAAACAAAACATAGTCTTTTTAATAAAGGAAACCAGAACTTCAAATTATCAGCCACATCTGGCAAGCTTGGCTTCCTCTGTCTCAACCATATCAGAGCTCCTTTTCACCCTCTCATCTGCAGATTCCTCAGGATTATCCCCTTGCAAAGCTTCATCGGCCGAAGGAACAACCAGGTTCTCTGCAACGTTCACTTCAGGTTCTGGAGTCTGAGGACGGAGGACCTTGGTGAAAGTTAAATCCTTGCTCTTACCGGTAAAATTGTAATCTGATATCTTGATAACAAACATGTGAGTCTGGCCAATTGTATCAATAAGAGCTTGAGGCACCGGGACTACGTGATCATCTCCCACGACAGCATTAGCCTAACATGAATTTCAAAACTTTTGAGAATGCATTAATTGAGGTGTGTATGATGGAGAGGTTGGTAATTACCTCAAAGTAACTCTCTACCAACTCCGAGGCTTTCTTCCCAAGCATCACCAAGAAGCACAAAGGTCGCCTGATCATTGGTGTCATACACAGATATCTTCGTGAGGTACCTGTCATGGAAGCACATTAAATAAGCATGCTGTAGGTGCTAGTGGGACTTAAGATAGAGCCCTTACTCTGCAACACCAGCAACATCCGCTTTACCACATTTCTTACACATAAGTGTGGTAGGCCCTTTGGTTGCCTTAGTCATGCCCCCACAGCAGGCAATATAATACCATGCAGAACCATGGACGACATCGTCAATGGTAGCCGTGCACTCAAACCAAGCAACCTGTGTGGTATGTTAAAATTAAAACATTATTAATAAGCAATGTCTATGAAATGAATAAGTGAAAGGAATGAATGATGCTACCTTTTCTCCTTCCTGCCTCATGAAGGATAAGAGTGTCCCTATAGTAGCTGGCTCAGCCTTTGTAACAACATCTGGATTAACCCTGCTTGCAACTTCTGAGTTTGATCCCAACCTAAAGTAATGGCACCAAAAAAAATAATATAAGACCGAGATTCCAAATATTTATGACACAAGGGAATACATACCAAGTCAGATAATCCCTCGTGGGTTGAACATCAGAGTCAATAAACACACGTGAAGATGCCAGGAAAGAGAAACATAAGGCGCATGTACCAAAACCAATGATATCATAGCTAATGGAAAAAATCAAGGTCGAGATTGAGTGACTGTTAAAACCTTATGCCCAGCTGATAACTGTAACAAAACAAAGGGAAACCACCGGAATCACTTTCTGAGTTTTGAGTTTTATGTAAACCCACTTTACCCACTGTGGGAGTCGATTTCACCCTACTGTCAAATAAATCGTAAATAAGGAAACTTCGGGAAAATCCTAAGTTTCAAGAGGAACCGGCTATCTGCGAGAACCGCACAACAAAGATTAAGATGACTAAAACACTTAGAATAAAAACGAAAATAAGAGAGGTTTGAAAGCAAGAAGGTTCTTATTCCGAATCTGCGTTGAACTGGTTACAAAAAGAGTAGCCGTAAACGTAAGAACTTAGAAAACCCTAATTGAGACGCAGCTCGCTAACAGAAAAA